AATAAATTGTCACAAAAAATGTTTATTAATGACGAATAATTACTTTGTCATAATAACAAGTACAAATGACGAAACAAATTCGTCACTAAACCTGTTCCATATTTTATATTTCAATTTCAATTATTATTTAACAAATATTCCTGCTCATATCCCAATAGTCTTTTAATTGTACTAAGAAACCACTGACTATTATACATCACTCCACACAAAAAATCAATAAACAATTTATATTATAAATCAAAATATATCCATCAAACAACTTTAATAATATAAACCATTAAGTATAACAAAAAAACCACCAAAGTAAATCCCACAATGAACTAACGTGGAATCCACAAAAAAAGAAAAAAAAAAAAATCAACACTCAATCTTGATTTGCAACTACAACTAAGTATCAGTTCAGGAAACAAAATTCAACAGTTGATCTTCATTTGCAAGTATACTTCCAAACATCATCAAAAACCAATCTGCAAAGAAAATAGACAAAGAAAACATTAATATATTATCAATTACATCTAAACTCATATAAATAATTTTTTTTATAAACCAATTTAGTAGAAATGCATCTAACAAATCAGAAATTCAAAGAGTTGAGATGATCTTTGATGATAAAGCAACACGGATAACATAAGATGCCAAAAGACTGATGTACCTCAATGCTATGTTATATTTTACTTTGGTGGTTTTTTTGTTATACTTAATGGTTTATATTATTAAAGTTGTTTGATGGATATATTAAATGTACCCAGTGGAAATCTCATTGCTATGGTTTCAAAAAATATCTCACTTTTCTAGGTCACAATGACATATCTCTAGTCTTGTTAATTCTGCCTGACTTTTTGGAAGTCTGTAGGCTACAATATGCTCATCATCTTTTATAATAGAAAATGGCTCCAAAGGGCTCACTAAATATTGATATATTCGATGATCATAAACCTGCAAATAAAAAAATCCAAGGCTTCATAAGAATAGGACATAAGAATAAACAACTGATTAGTCAATAAATAACAAAATTCGAGAAATATACTGCCTCAGCAAGCAACAGGCTTTTATCACTCCTTAAGGCAAATAGTTCATTATCCAACTAATACTTAAAGAGCCTCTGCAGCAGTCATCAAACCTAAATTCAATTCAGTAATTTACCATGCTTGCACAGGTCCAATGGGACTCATTTTATATGCAATGTTTACTGTATAAAATACATGTCTTTTTAAAAATCTGTAATGAAAACTTTCAAACCTCAAAATCACTTGTGTTGTCCGAAACACTCTGTATGACCCACATGAGGATGGTCAGAACAGCTCCTGATTTGAATTCCCTTTTTTACCTGAATCCTTTAGTCTGTCTTCGCATTGTTGCCATTGCTTTCGAGTTCAGGAGGAAGAGGATCGACAAAGAATGACTTCAAATGTTTGAACATCTCTTGCGACTTCTCTACATTGATTGCATGACCTGCATTCTTTATGATCACTAGTTGTGTGTTCTCACCCAGATGCTTGAAAAAATAAACGAAACATGATTCAATGAAAATGAATCAAGCCTAAAACTTTAAAGCAATTCAAAACATTAGAAAATGCAAATGCCCCACTTGGTTGGCAAGAAGACAAATGATATTAAAACTTGAGAAATCTTGCAAATAAAAAAGGTTACAAGTTGTCATTTTCTTTTCCTCCAACCTCTTGGAAACCGGAGAGGACCAAAATACAAAACCTTACATCTAAAAAATGTTACTAAAATTAAAAAATTATTTGTATTGGCCTTTTTAATCTGTGCGCCAATTTCGGTGGAAATATCTGATCTTGATCACCCCAGATTATTAACATGGGCTACATCATGGAGAAATTACACCATTAGCGAGCCAATCAAACTAGTAGTTGAGAAACAAAGCAGGAGCTAAATAATATGCTGACAGACAAAATAAGAGATACAAAAACTTGAGTTATCTTGGGAAGATCAGAGAGTTTTATATCCTTGTGAAATGCTTGGACCAAGTCTTTTCTTTCTTGAAGGTATTTTGTACACATCACCTGCCCACACAGACCAATTCACAAAAGTAGTTTCAGGTAAAACAATATAGGGTAAATCCCACATCCTGGAATCTTAACTTGTGATAGTAAGATATCAACATATTCATAAATTTAAGACTGGCAACATTACTATGTGTTACAGAGTACAGAGTACAGACTACAAACATATTATTTAGGCAAGCCCTGAAAATCACTCATCAAACATTACAAGAACGAAAACATAGAAATATAGAAGTATAAATAAATAATTAACTCAAATAATATTTTTGGACAACAAGAAAAAATATTCCATTTGTAAACAATATGTACCTTCATAAGTGTATCAAGATCTTCATCAGGTTTTATTCCAACAATTTTCTCTCTTCATGAAAGTTCCAGAAGCATATCTGTTGCAGATTATCATTACTCAGCATTTAGGTGACCTCCACACATACACAAGCATGCACACACTATCTTCCATAGCTTACCATATTTATATCCAACACCCTGACAACCAGCTGAGAAGTCAAAAGTCTTCCTTACTGTCATCTCTACCACATGCCAATCTTGTTGACTGACATAAGCAGATGTCCTCTAAGGAACAAACTCATTTAAACTATGTCCATTGTATGTAATGCTCCCTGACATCTTCAAGGTAATCAAAGGTATTAATGGAGGCACAATTTGCAGAAAAAGAAAAAAAAAAACTTCATGAGTCATGTCAATTCATTTAATGAAGCAATAAAGCTAGACAGAGGAATATCCATGTCCGATAAATGATGCCAATCTAATATTGAAAGTATTACATAACTAGATACATCCATACACCACATTGGGAAAGTTAGATATAGCATGGGAAATTATGCAGAAGCCTTGAAGTTAACTTAAGCCTAAATGCATTCAAACTAACACACAAATTTTAACCTCTCCTAAAATTTCATTTTTCTTTCTTTCCATCTTTCCCCACCTTCCCCACCACTCCCCCTTCTCCCTCCAAGAAGAGGGGGGGGGAAGGAAAATTAAAAGAAAAATGAATGAATAAACAAATTAAACTTCATTTCTAATCATAAACAAAATATAACACAATTCAACACTTTTTACTAAAGGGCTAGAGTTAGTAAAAGATGTGAACCAAAGCTAGTGTATGGAAGAGCAGCATGAAATGGCATTCTTAGTTTCTTATGTTTATCTTCTTTTTATAAAAATTCAACATCATTACCAAATTTTCATATGCATATACAAGATAAATTTTTAAAGAAATTATTTACTAGTTATAACTTTAAAAATTAGAGCCCTAATGAATCACTTTTTTTTTGTTTTGTAATCTAAAAAAAATATTGGCAGTGGCATGTGGTTCACAATGATCAGTCCACTGGCCACTAAAAATTATTGAGTATGCTTTTGGTATAATTATCAGTCCACTGGCCACTAAAATTCAGCTTCTGGGCAATACTGCTATTATAATTGAATAAGTTGTTTCTATCAATAATTCTAATAATATTTAACTAACATACTTCTTACAAGTCAGTTCAAATGTAGATTTAATATTTGGAGCTGTATGAATTTGTAATTTGAAATTTTCGTGTCAGATTGAGCATGTGCAAGTGTAGCAGCATGAATTTATCTGAACATTTTGAATAATGATAGTTTATATCACAGGAATGCAAGGCCTTCTCTCTCAAATGGGTGGGTCCCACGTAGTGATAAAGGGGTTGTGGATACTGCCCAAAAGGTTGTGGGTTTAACAATTGCCCAATAATAATAATAATAAACAAAAGCAACAAAAAACATTAACTTTGTCATTGAGAGCAACAGAAAGATTGTATTCTTCACTATATTATCCACTGAGCTGCACCAGGTACGAGTGTTGGGTGGGCTAATTTGGGGTGGAGAGCATGCATCACTCCTGTATGAGCGCTCATTCTGGGTCTGATTCCCTATCTGATGGTTTAAGTAAATGTCCAAACTAGCAGACGAAGGGTTTGCCACCTTTTTCTTGCTCTTGAATATTCAGCTAACAGGGATGTGAGTAACAAAAAAAGAAAAGAAAGAAGTAAAATGGACTCTTTGTAGTTCAATCTGATTGACAGAAAGAGTAGCTTAGACATTTAAGATACTTGTCTTTTCACTTCTCACGATATCTTTACACTGATTCTATTCTGCTTCCCGAACCTTCAACTGCTAAAATTTAAAAAATAAATAAAAATAAAAAAGGGGGATGGGGATGGGGTGAAGAAAATCAAGGGATTCCCACATGTCATTATATATAAAAAGCTTAAAGCATTTTTTTCATCATATGACAACTGCCCACCGTTCTATTTGGATGGGGGTGAAGAGTTGCTTTAAAAGAATAAAACAAGAACAATTAGCTGCCAAATTAGTCCACAAAGTTGCTGAATTTAAGGCTATGATCTTAAATTCCATGTTGTTGAGCCTTGTCTTAACCCTCATATTTTTTAGCATTTTCTTAGCCTAAACATGTCCAAACAATTACAATTTTAATAGACAGATAATAAAAATAAAATACAGAACAAACTACCAATAAATTACCTTTGCCCAGTTAATATTACGAGGTTCGAGTGCATTCTGATTGGCCAGAAGAAAATCAATCACAGGTCCAAGTGTTAATATCATAGTTGTAGCCACATCTGCACAACGAATTGTAAGCAGCATTAAAAATGGAAAAAAGGGCAATCCCTGATAGTAAAAGGACAAAAGAATGGAGTTATACCCATATTCAAGGAAAAACCACCATGAGTTGGACGAAAACTGTAATGGAACCCCAGACAGCCAGTTTATATAGAATGATTTGGGCCTTTGAGTCTTGAAGGAATTCTAGAGTGTGCAGAGGAAGGATAACAACGAACAAACAACAATATATTTAATGACAACAATGGCTCCAAGTCTCATTCATGGATTAATCCTACAAATGGTATTGGCTACCTCTTAACAGGTAGACTAAATCAACTTTCTTCATTTAAAAAGGTCAAGTCAACATACCAATATCCAGAGGGTCATGAGTTTCAGTATCAATCTGAAATTTCACTTCAGCAGAGGCAAGAGTCAATGCTCCTCTATCAATACGCCTCTGCCTCATTACCTGCAAAAACAGAGTCCATTCACATTTAATCAATACTCAAATGAATAAATGACCGTAAGTATCGACCTGAGTATGAATACCTTTGCTAAAACATTCATATTTCTCAAATCTGTAGTTAGCGGATCCATCAAGTGGCTACAATATACATGTAGAAAACAGTCATCAATATGGAAACTGGTAGGCAGGAAGCTTCAAATACAATAAATAAATAAATGCAGATAACCTTAGGGGAAAGAACAGACCCAAAGCGAGTCTAAATGTATAAACTTACACAGGTAACTGGATATCAAAGGGTCAAATGCCCATTATCTTTCTTAATCAAGATTCAAGATTGTTTTTATCTTTTGTTTACAATATTACTAAGCACCAATGTAACATTCCCAAGCCACCACAACATAGAAACTAGTAATATGAAGCAATTTGACTGACTTACCAGCTTTATCATTTAGTCAATTAAATAACAATCAAAAGCATGCCTTTTCAAACAGTTCCTTTGGTGTTCAATCATTTGTCAGGTCAAAGGTTCAATAAAACTTGCGTACACTTGAATTAACAAGGGTGGCAAGGGTTTCCATACTCATGCAATGACCGTGTAGACACAAGCAACCTATGCATTCATAATACTGGTGGCCATATAGCGTATGGGTTGGTCTCAATCCTTGACATCTCTCACTCCAATTCATGTGAAAATTTTACACAACTGGGTTGGACTTCCATCTGCCTTGATATATATATATATATATCTTCTCAAGATATTGAAACTTGGATTCATTGTACACATGCATCACTGAAGTATGAACAAATAATCAATCAATCCACCATGAAAAATTTGAACACAATTTGTGTCAGAACAAAAATCCTTGTAAGAATTCAATATATCTTGTTTATTATGAGTAACCTCGGCCTTCTCTGGGTATTCTAAATCTAGATAATTGGTACATCAAATTCTTTGAATGTCATATTACACATCAAGTATTGCTACTTTGTACTATGCCTTGTTAACTTTTCCATGGTCACAAGCAAAGCTTTAAAATAAATGTTGTGTTATAGTTGAATTGAGATAATTTAGTCATCTCCAATGAAAAATGGTAGTTGATTCATGTTGTAAGAAAATGATGCCAAAGATTTAGTGGTAAATATGATCATACTATAGAGACTACATAAAGCTGAACACTATATCTATCTCATAAGTTTTTTACTATGTTAATTAAGGGGTAAGGTATAACAAGAAAAATTAGATATAGCACCTATCATCCATCCTAGCTTGAGCTTCTACATAAGACAATGCTGCACACGACTTGATGACACTTTTCGTGAATCTTGTAGAAATAATCTTCGCTTCAGGTGTCATTTCCTGAAATTCAAATAATGTCAAAAAAAGGTCCAAAACTTGAATTCACAAACACACACGAATACACACAAACCACCAAGATAGGGAAATAAATATATGTAAACACAAAAACAAATACATAAAAGTACAAATGCGCTTTGGTAAGCATTCCTTTAGCAAGTAATCCGTTGCATGTTTCTAACACTTAAGGGCTCAATTATGAGCCAATATTATGTAAAAAATTAAAATAAAACTCTGAGCCAACACCATTCATTGGTTCAACTAAAGAAAGTGTAAAGTGTGAAAACAAGAATGGAAAAGATGCAACATGTGCAAAAAGTAATTATGGTGAAAAAGATTAATTAACTAAAGCATTCTAAAATCAAAACAGCCCTTTGTTCCAACAATAGAAAACCTAAATCTCAGGTCAGTTGTTTTTTTAACACAAAAATGAACCATATGATTGGACTAATTGCACACAGGGACCTCTAAGATAAGGAAAAAAAATGGCTTCTATTTTCTAAAGTTTATCAGTATTTAGCAACTATTCGACTTTCTTTTATATTCTATCTTTTCTCATCTTTTTCCATCTCAGCTCATCCAGATCAGTTGAACAACTTGACTCACAACCCAACAACCTCAATAAGCTCCATTTGTATTGGAAATATTAGCATTACAAGCAATATTTTATGGTTTAATAGACTAAACAGTAAAATGGGTGTACTCACAATTAAAAATGGGAGTGGCCACGTAACTATAATATATTAATAATTAATAAGGTATCAAATTGACACTATAATCCACAGATATTGATATTGCATGTTTGGGTATTGGAGAGAGTAACAAGAACTAGTGTTTTTCAGGTCAATCAGATACATGTATACTTACAACTCACTAGAAAAAGAAAGCTGAATCATAACCACCACAGATTCAATCATTACCCAGATAACAGAGAATGCTAGTCTCTCCACATTAGCTCAAAAAGAACAAATATCGGCAATATAAAACTTCTATTGAGTGAGCTATCCAAGAGCTTCTGTGACAATTAAGAAATTTTAAAACTAACAAACAACTAGCCATAAAATAAATTAGTAGTATGTGCAACCAACAAATTCAACAAAGTTAATGGAAATGAAATATTACCTTCTGTTAAAGGTTTAGGAAGCATGTCAATTCGCCGCTCAACAAGGTAGACTGATGTGCCCTTTTGTGTAGCCTCATCATCAAGAGGGGTTCCAGGGTGCACAAAATTTGTAACATCAGCAATATCTGTTTAAATGTTATTAAGGATTGACAAAAAAGCTCCATGCCTAACTGATAAAAACTGAGAACCACCTTTAGACAATTGGATGTATTAAGACCAACATTAGCCCTAATCTAAGCAAAATATATAAAAAATTAAAAATTAAAAAAAAAAGATTCTTGGAAAATCTGTAAGATGGCTAACATAGTAATGAAGTCCGAAGGAAAACAAAAGCCCATTTGAGCTCAACAACAAACAGGGAATAAGCATGTGTACACTAAAGAAACCAAGAAGTGAATCAAACCCAGGGTACACAATTTTTTACAAGTATTCATGCAAAATAGTCAAGAAGACAATTAGAAAATTACTATTGCACAAAAAAGTAAAGACTAAATTGGAGTTTGGATCATTTGCTTATTATCCATTGGCCTGTGCCATATCATATTTGGGTGCTTATTTTTTCTATTTTTGGAGTGGTTTGGGTTCAACAAAGCAGGGTGATGGCAGTCCTCTGGAGTTAGGGAGGGGGTCAAGTTGGGAAGTGGCGTTAGAAGGCTTGGTCCATGGCCCCGTTGTGTTTAATGTGGTTGGTTTGGTTGGAACGGAATTAGTGTATTTTTCAAGGGATGGCTTGTTCTCTTTCGTGGTTAGAAAATAGGCTTTTTGTAGTTTGGTATAGCTGGGTTACATGTATGGTGGACCTGGATTTGTTTGCTTTTTTGAATTTTTTTGGATGATTTGATTGGTTAGGTGGTGTCTCCCCTTTCATGGGGTTTTTGTTTTGTTTTGTTTTTTTTTGGTGTTTTTTAGCATCAGCTTGATGTTGTCAATAATAAAATTTTATTTATCAAATAAATAAAGACTAAATCATGAATGTATCGAGAATCAGAAGCAAGGATGATGAAAATATAAGACGATCAAAAAAATTACATCTAAAATTAAGTGCTCATCCTACCAATGTAGCAGTGAGAGGTTCGCTAGGTAAAGTGGACGCCCTCCAACCAATGCTCAAACTTGATAGTAAACGCTTAAAACATTGCAACAACAAAAAATTCCACTCTTAATGAATTTTCAATAAATATTATAGGTATTTGTGCCCTACATACATGCCACGTCATCACTTAAGAGGGGTTGGATCATCATAAGGCATGAGCCTCACATTCTCACCTAGTCGCAGTGCGTCACTTCATGGCCTCGCCTTGCCTCAAGGCCTCAAGAATGCCACCCAGAGCTACATAGCTTGCCTAGGTATAGATAGGGAGTAGGGCCTATGGATCCTTCAGTGCCTCAATCATGAGACACCCAAGCAACCCATGACTCCACGCTGGATTACCACAAACTTGTAGATTGGTAGTTAAAGTTAAGAGATTAGCAAAATTGCTTAGTCCACCCTCTCGAGGTGGCTCCACTTTCACCTATCTTAGACAATAAAGAAAGACCTATTTGACTAAGGCATATGATACCTCAAAAGGCGTATGACACCAAACTTTGCCACCCTTTGGCATAACTCTCAAGGATGAGCTGGCCTTCATGGCCCAACTATCCTACAAAAGGTCCCCATCCCATATATGGACGCGCACACTCATGTAATAACTCGAAAGGCATACCACACCTACATTTGCCACTCCTTGGCATGACCCTCAAGCATGAGCTGGCCTCCATGGCCCAACTATCCTATAAAAGGTCTTCATCCCCATATGTAGACATACAGAGACACCCTTGAGGAGAGCAGCCTCTCCTACATATCAAGAAACAAATTAGTAATTAGCAAGATAGGTAAAACTTCAACCAAATTAGTAATAATCAAGATTTGTTTTTTCTAAGTAATTAGCAAGATAAATGATAGTTTCCACTAATAGGCAAATCTTCAACATAAATAAGCATTCAAAGCCAAAAAAACAGACTTGAAACATAAACTTCTCCTCCAAGATCGTTCTCCGTCGTGTCAGAAGTTCCCTCTTGTCACATACAATAAATTTTGCTGTCATGGTTTTGATATTTTTCGTGCTATTTGCTTCCATTAATGAGTTCCAATAATTTCCATGATAGTTATAAGGTCAACATACGTGGAAGAACCAAAAGGTCAAAGGATACGAACTCCAACTTCAAAATTTCCATTATGTAATGCATCATCAATATCCTTGCATCCTGCAGAAACAGAAAAATAATATTTGTACAGAGTTTGGTATTTGCCTACACTAAAAAGAATACTATCTGGCCTCATGCAAAACTAAAAGGGTATTAAGAAGGAAAAGGTCTGATAAATCTATAGATCACATACCTAGAGGATCCACACTAAAGACACGTATATGACGCAAATCCTACCTAATAGGATTTGCCAGATCTTCAGAAGACACAGACAAAGGTAATGGCCGCAAACATGACAAAACTTGAGAAGTAAATGGTCTCGCATCTATATCATTCTCTATCAACACTACTTGTAGCACCCACACAATTGATTACTACATAATTTTATGAGCAAGAAGGATTGATCCCGTTGCTCGAAGATGATAATATTATACCCATCAGCCAGAAAATCAAAAGAGGGAAACAAAAAAACAATTCAATCAAGAAACTCCTGTCCATAACTAGATGATCTGTTTGTCCCCCAAGAAAACACTCTGTTTGGTAGCCAAGAAAAGAATCTAAACAACCAGAAAATGTACCTGTGTTCTTCTTCTGTCCATGGAGTTCCTTTTTTCCTCTTGACCTTGCCGTGCTTTGTCTTTGCTGCCGACCCAAACGAGGTCTGACTCCTCTTCGACTCAGTCTCCCACTCGAGCGATGACTCGTCAGAATAACTATGTAACTCGACTCGGCCTGACTCAATCTCGTTCGCAAATCTGTGTGTGTGTGTGTGTGTGTGTGTGTGAGAGAGAGAGAGAGAGAGAGAGAGAGAGAGAGAGAGAGTTGCCCCAAATGAGATATGTTTAGGGCAAATTGAAAGAGAGAGAGATGCCCCAAATGAGATGTGTTTAGGGAAAAATCTCAGAGACAGAGAAGAGTATGAGTGTGTACCTTCCCTTATCTTCCTCCCTGTGCCTGACCCTGTTAAGTGGAGTTGTTAACATCGTTTTGCTAATCGAAGCCTCAAAGAGACGAGTTAGAAAATGGAAGTGACCAAAGAGGTGATGAGGGAAATGGTGATGGATGCTGCTGTCGAGCCAGCTGTCGTACCGGCGATGGATCCCCTTCGAACCAGTGTTTGACGATTAGAATCCATTAGAAGCCGAGCAGTCGTATATTTGCCAAATATTTTTTTTGTTCTTTTTTGTTTTTTTTGTTTTATTTTTTTTAGTGAATTGGCGCCATAAATTTTATTTTGGTGCCTCTTTGTTTTTTATCATACAATTTACCACATACATTGTTTATCGTAAAAAATTGTAATACTTTCAACAGGCAGGCATTTCGTGCGTCGTAAAAAAGCAATATTTTTAACGGCGTGCGTTGTGTGAGCCGTGAAAAGTATTAACGTTTCACGGTTGGTGTATGTGCGTCATGTATAATTGATGTATTAATGACACGCCATATGTACGTCGTTGAAAGTTTTATTATTTACGACGTGCATTGCAAGTCATAAAAAAATCATCGTTATTATCATTCACAACCTACGCAATAGACACGTCGTGGTTGGAAAAGTATGTACGACGTGCAAAAAAAGCAAGTCATAAAAGTGAGAAACTACGGCGTGCATTTATTATATGCCGTTGATGTGGTGCCGTAAAAAGTCTGTTTTGTTA